TAATAACCATAGCGAGGGTGCTTTGTGTCCACCTTGTTGGACCCCGTACGTTCCAAAAGGGGGGCCTTTTTCACCCTGCGAGAGGGAGGAAAAAAATAACGATTAAAAAACCCACCTTGTAGTCAGCTGGTTCTCCCTGTCTGCTCCAAGTCCACCCTAGACCTGGGGCTCTGTGCGCTGGGTTTACGCTGCCATGGCGGGGAGGGGGGGGGGGGGTTCTCTGGACCTTTATTCATGGTTACATGTATATTTTACATTAATAGGATTGATTATGAGTATTTTTTCTCCAGCGCAGTGAGGAAACTTTAATAACCATCCGCAGCCGCAGCAGCAGCAGGCATCAGGGTGGGACCAGGCAGCATGGACCTCAAACAAACCCATCCCTAGGTGTACTAGGCCTACTTGGACCAGCACCCTTTCCCAACCGAGGTAGACAATTACCCAATGAAATACAGGGGCAACGGAAACTTGACCTTTGCCCCAACTAGCTGACATTTGCCCATGAAAAGGCTTGGTCAACATTGCCTTTGCCCAGTAGCGTGGCATCGGGACAAGCGCGTGTTTAGTGCAGCAGGGAGGTATTGTCAACTCCGCGGAGGACTACGGACTGTACTCCCAAAATTTGGAGAGACTCACGTTTTGGTGAAAATGAATCAGGCGTGGGCATTAGTCATGAATTTCAAACCACCAGTTCCTGACACAACCTGACTAAATCCGCCATTGAATCATGCCCCAAACATGTGCCACTTTCAGGTCTCCTCACACTGCTGGTGTGTTTCCATTTTTTTGTCCATAGGGTGGCTGGCAGATTACGGGGCCTCCCATAGCTGCTGCCAGGCCCCTAATCTGCACATGGGCCCCTATACGCCTCCTCATGCTGCTGCCAAGTCCAGAGTCTCTCATGGGTCCCTGTTACGGGTTCCCCATTGCTGCTGTCTCCATCGCCACACTCTGCCATGTGCCACTTTCAGGTCTCCGAAATCACATGATGGGTGTGTTGAAATTTTTTGACATAGGGTTGCTGGCAGATTACGGGCCTCCCATAGCTGCTGCCAAGGCCCCTAAATCTGCCAATGGGCCCCTATAACCGCCTCCTCATGCCTGCTTCCAAGTCCAGAGTCTGTCATGGGTCCCTTATACGGCCTCCCATTGCTGCTGTCCATCGCCACACTCTGCCATGTGCCACTTTTCAGGTCTCCTCACACTGCTGGTGTGTTGTGAATTTTTTGACATAGGGTGCTGGCAGATTACGGGCCTCCCATAGCTGCTGCCAGGCCCTAATCTGCCATGGGCCCCTATGCCGCCTACCTCATGCTGCTGCCAAGTCCAGAGTCTGTCATGGGTCCCTGTACGGCCTCCCATTGCTGCTGTCTCCATCGCCACACTTAGCCATGTGCCACTTTCAGGTCCTCCTCACACACTGCTGATGTGTTTGTTCCATTTTTTGTCATAGGGTGCTGGCAGATTACGGGCCTCCATTGCTGCTGCCAGGCCTGTAATCTGCCATGGGCCCCCGTACCGCTCTGGTCACGCTGCTGCTGGGTCCACAAGTGTGACATGGGTCCCTGTACCGCCTCCCATTGCTCCCACTCTGCATGTGCCACTTTCAGTCTCTTCACACTCCTGCTGGTTTCCATTTTGTCATAGGTTGCTGGCAGATTACAGGCCTCCCATAGGTGCTGCCAGGCCCCAAATCTGCCATGGGCCCCCGTAACCGCCTCGTCACGCTGCTGCTGGGTCCACAGTGTGACATGGGTCCCTGTACCGCCTCCCATTGCTCCCACTCTGCCATGTGCCACTTTGAGGTCTCCTCACACTCCTGCTGGTTTCCATTTTGTCATAGGTTGCTGTATGGCCTCCCATTGCTGCTGCCTCCACCGCCACACTGTGCTCAAAACACTGGTTTTGGCCCCGTGACTGGCCAAATGAGTGAAGTGTGCGGTGATTCTAAGATCGACGGCACTCATCTGCATGTCATTACTGACTGACAGTATTATTTCTCTTCCCCAGCAGACTCCAAGGGCATTTAAATTAAAGGTACAGTGTTCTGCACTAATATTTAGTCTCTCTGAAGCCTAGAAACACCCTTTTTTAAGTTAAAAAAGCGAATATATTCGACTCGAATCGAATATTGTCCACGAATTCGCTGAATCAGTCGAATCGAATTTTTGAATACTTCGCTCATCTCTACTAAACAAGCCAGTTATTTAATACATTTTTACAGTGCCTTTATAATTCATTTCTACATCTTACCTTATATTAGGAAAATTATTATACATCATGGGGCCCTTCTTGCTCAATGTTTGCTAGTTCTGAGGAAAGAAAGTTTTCTTTTTCTTTCTTTTTTAATCTTACTTTATCTTACAATAAAACACACTTCTGTGTTATAAGTCAAGCTATGCTTAAAGGAGTGGGATGAATGAATGGATATGTGTAATGCAGAAGGGATGGAAGATTAATGAGATATATGGATGGCAGGAGGGATGGGTGGGAGGACTCCTGAAATCAGAAATGCATAGGAAAAGATGAAAGAAAATATGATGTAAAGAAAAATGAATTAGTAAAAAAGCAGAAGCAAGAACGTTGCATAAGTATGACAATGAAAGTATTAATTAAAAAAAACTTGCCTGCTAGAGGTGAAAACCATTATTGTAATGTGATTCCATCATCAGTGACATCTTGGTTAGTATTCGTAAATGCTATTTGTTCCTGCTCATCATAATGAGATTTTAGGCTAGGTTCAAACCTATGCAGGTTGTGTTTGAGCCGTTTCTGCATTGCGGTTTCTACATGTTTTTGCTGCCTTTTTTGATGTGTTTTGTGTGTGTGTGGGGTCATTTATTATATTTTTCTTGTTGCTAGGCAGATTTAAAATGCAAACTGCATCAAATAAGTGGCAATACATGCTTTTCTGCAGCTTTTCCATTGAAGTCTATAGAACAAAAAATGCAACTTTTTGCATTCAAAAAAGTCCCTGACCCTTTCCAACAAACACTCCAGGTGAAAACGCGGAGATATGAACATGTCCCATAGGGAATCATGTTAAATGGACTGTACTGCGTTTCTGCAAAACGCTGCAGAAAACGCTAGGGTGTGAACCTGGGGTAAAGGAGTGGGATGAATAAATGGATATGTGTAATGCAGAAGGGAAGGAAGATTAATGAGATATATGGATGGCAGGAGGGATGGGTGGGAGGACTCCTGAAATAAGAAATGCATGGAGGGAGGTAGGAAAAGATTAAAGAAAATGCGATGTAAAGAAAAATGAATTAGTAAAAAAATTTAATTTAATAAAAACGTACCTGCTAGAGGTGAATACCATTATTGTAATGTGATTTCATCATCCGTGACATCTTGGTCATCATAATGAGCTTTACTGTAAGAGGTTATTCTCTGTCTGCCTGTTTCCACTGCTGATGGTCTGATGATACCTATGCAGGGGTGTATTTACCACAAGGCAAACAAGGCACTTGCCTAGGGTGGCATTTTTCAGGGGGGCAGCACCTCCCCCTTGAAGAAGGGATGAAAGAAGGGACATGTGTACCATGGGAACCAGGTGGGATCCGAGAGAGGCTGCGGGCTGTTTGATGGTGTAAGTAGAGCCTGACTCTCGCTCCCGGGGATGTCCATCGCTGTGAAGATGAGTGTCTCTCTATCGCCAGGGAGGGGTAGTGGAACTCTCTCCCAGGTGGGGTGCAAGGGTATTGTTGGTCAATGTCATTTCTCTCTTTGCGGGAGGGGGAAGGGGGGTTGTGTTGGTCAGTGTCCGTGTGGACAGATGATTTTTGTGTTGCCTAGGGCAGCACAAAACCTAAATACACCACTATACCTGCGCATACATTTTTCTATTGATGCCATTGTAACGCTGTTTGCAATTATGAGTGGAGTTGTGAAGGTGGCTAAGACTATTTTCAAGCTGGTAGTAGGACATTTTTTTTTTTTTGGAGTGAGACTGACATTTCTGTTATCCCTATGTGCCATTCCTGCCCTACTATCAATCTCTCTATGCAGTATTTGATTGTCAAGAACAAAAAATTGTGATATTCTCCACTTTTTTTATTACAATATATAACATCCTCTGCCCACCATAAGCATGCTGCAGCCACTACTCTGTTTTTACTTTTTATGTATGCATCTTCTGCATATTGGCCGCAATGAGTTAGTTTGCCTTCTTCTCTCTGCTTTCCATCAGTATGCACCCCTCCTACCTCCTGCCAACTGCTGGATGCAATTCCTCCTGTTCTGTGCCTGCCACTGGATGTTGCCTCTCATACCATGTACCCAGCAATGAATGCTGTACATTATGCTCTGACTGTGCCCATCATTATTCTGTCCTCAGATGTTCCCCATTTACACCTATGCTTGCGATTTGGGCTTCCATGTGCTGCTCACCAGCAAAGGCTTTTTTCTTCTGTCAGCATTTTTGTTTATCAGTGCCATTATTGATAGCCAAGGAAACACTGCTCAGTCCTCTGCACTTCTCCGCAAGAATAACAGGACAAAGAACAGCAGAACCCTGTTTTAGGAGTACCCATCTAGCCTTAGAGGACTATTCTCTATTGGTGAAGTTTAGAGTTATTACCATAACACCACCACACTTTGTTTTTTCTTCACTGCATATTGCCATTATTATTATACAGGATTTATATAGCGCCAACAGTTTGCTCAACGCTTTACAATATAACGGGAGACAATACAGCAACAATACAGTTCAATACAAGAGGGTTAGGAAGGCCCTGCTCCTTCGAGCTTACAATCTAAGAGCCATTAAAGCCCAAACGCTATTCCTCTACCCTTTTATGTTTACCTGAAATGACAAAGAGTTCAGTAAATGGGCTATACAGCTCAATTGCAAGGTATAACAGTGTTGGTACACTATTAGCAAATTTGTAAAAATGTTTATTTTTTTTTTATTTTTAACTATATTTCAACATAAGAACTTGTATAACTTGACATGACTACTGTATGTAGGGTCTTCTGCTGGCAGCTTGGTTATTTATTTGTTTTGTAATTTACTGTATATTATTTTATGCTTTAGTTTTTGGGCAGATATTAAGGCATTATTATTATAGCAAGTATATTTGCTATTAGGTAAGTATATAATCTTTTTTTTGTAATGTAGACTGTGTTCTGCTGTAGAAGATATTAGATTAGTTTAGATTTGATTGTCTGAGGGTTTTTTCAGGCGTGAGCATTGTAGGGAAAATCAGAAATGGTCCCATCAAAAACAACATACTCAAAAAAGTGTGGGAATTTAGACTTCTATGTGCAGTGAGATGAACGAAAACTTCAAACAAGTGTAATAGTTCTGGTGAAATGGCTCCTACACAGCAAGGCTTCCCTTAATGGGCACTCAACAGTAGTTCAAACCACAGAAATACAGAAAGGGACAGGGCAGTGGGGCTGCGTAAAAATCATATGTATATACGTGATTTAGCATTTTCGGGTAGGGCGCGTGCGCGCCACCCTACCCGTGCTGCCATTGCTGGCTATGGTTGTCAATCACCGGGTCCTGGCTGGAGATTCCTCCCTGGCAACCAGCGATCGCCAAAGAACACTGACAGAGGAGAGAGCTGTATGTATACAATACAGATCTCTCCCCTGTCAGCTCCAGCATGCTGCTTTGTTTTGCTCTGCATAGCAGAGCAATACAAAGCAGCATGCTTACACAGTAAAGCACACACATCACACATAGTAAAACAGCACACAGTTAACCCTTTGATTGCCCCAGATGTTAACCACTTCCTGCCCAGTGTAATTAGTACAGTCTCAGTATAAATAGTGAATACTTGTGAGCTATTATGAATGAGGCATTCAGTGGGTAATATATAATTGTCTACTGATAAAATGTGCTTGGTGCGCTGGCACTTACACAGACTCACTTGCTAGTGTATATACAATATTATAAATAAATTTATAGTGCCGCGCTCCTATTTACTTATATATATAACTTAATCCTTGGGGTACATGAATTGATATCTGAAACAATACATAAATCACTGTGACTAGTGAATAAAAATAATCAATAATAAATAATAAATAATGATAGATCAATTGTGAATCACTATGACTGGTAAATCAATTAAAAATAGATACATTTAAATATGAATAGATCAACAACCTTCATTAATGTGACTGATATCAATCAATCAAAAAATCCTTAATTAAATGTGACTGTAAAAGGATGAAACTAAGATAAATAAAAACCTAAATCCGTGCCACTCTGATCTGATGTGATCACTCCATCTATATTGTGCAAAAGCATACATAAATGTGCAAGTGCAAACAATAAAATTCATAAAATAAAGTAAAAAGTCTTTCAAATAAGTGCAATGTGCAGGTGAATACCTTATTCCCTCTCGCCGGGTGCTTAGTGGTCTCCCTATGCGCTCACCTTAGTATTTGCCTAAATAAATTCAGGCAAATAAGCTTTTAATCCTTCCAGGATT